GTAGGTTAATTGCTAGAATGTCCTGCATCCTCCAACTGATGTCATTTTATTACAGAGAAGTAAGATGATCTGAAACAGGATAATCATTGCAAAGCCCCGGTGTAGAAGCCAGAGCTCTTCATATCTTTAGTGTTTCAGGTTGTGGTTGATCACTGCTGTACCAAAGGCAAGGAAGCTTCAGAGCCCTGGAGAGAGCATGTGATTAGATATTTTTGTGGGATTTCCTGTGCAGCTTCTGTCTTAGACACAGAAGTGCATGCTGCCACCTGATGGACATCCTGAGAAGTTGCAACTAAATGTTTTTAATTGTGAAATTTAACTAGAGACAATAAGCAACAAAATGTTAGTATAAACACATGAAAGTGAAAAATTTATATCAGGACTTCAGGAAGAATACACCCAGGTGAAAAGACCGAGATTTAATTGAACAAGTTAAATAGTATTAGCAAAGAGATAGTTCTCAAAGCTCTTTTTTTGTTTGTTTTCTATTTTAGGAACTAAGGGTCCATGAACTTCTGTGAAAGTCTTGTTAGAAAATACATTTTCAGTTGGCACAATAGTTGGTATATATAATTTTTGATTGCACCAAGATCCAGCCTGTGCTTGATGCATGGGTGACAAGCACTCTGTTGGACTATGGTCCTCCTGGCACATTTTATATCTTTTGAAGTCATGCTCTGTCATCAGGTTTTTGTCTCAACCAAAGAAAATAGTAATGATGTCAATATACGTGCCCATTTTTTTTTTTGGTTTTTTGAAACAGAGTTTCTCTGTGGCTTTTAGAGGCTGTCCTGGAACTACCTTTTGTAGACCAGTCTGGTCTCAAACTCACAGAGATCCACCTGCCTCTGGCTCCCGAGTGCTGGGACTAAAGGCATGCGCCACCAACGTCCGGCTTAAGCACATGCCCACTTCTTAACAAAGTTCTTGCTTTAGTCCTTTACAATATGGATCTCAAAAACACATGGCTACGATAGTCACTTGAGCATGGGGAAAGCAACGCTGGAAGGAGTATGTAGAAATTCTAGCAGGTCAACCTGCAAGGATAAAGCTGATATTTCATTCCAGGTCCTTCAATTTCAAGGTTTGTGCTATTTCTCCAAAGTTAGAAAAGAAAAATACCTTTTTGAAGAAAATTGAGTTATCTAGTAAAGGAAAGGCATGCACCATGATTTTCTTGTGTGTGTGTGTGTGTGTGTGTATGTGTGTGTGTGTGTGTGTGTGTGTGATGTTATTAGCTTAGGGTTAAAAAGATCTTGGAAAAGTGAGGTGACATGGTAATGTAGAATAAAACCCAGAGAAAGTTCATCTTCGTGAAGGTGAAGTGGATCTGGAAAAAAAATTCATGGACAATAAAAAAAGAACAGAAGATAATATCAAGATAAAAATTTTATAGGTATGTCTTCTACTGCTTTTCAAAAAATACATCGATTCACACAAAAGACTGAATGCATAAAGACTAGAAATACAAGAATGATCAAACCAAAAAGAATGTATTTTCTGTGTATGCACCATGTCTGTAATCTTTCAACACAAGTGCCCTTTGGTATCACCTGCTTTTTCTGTATCACTTATATTGCTTTTGCTTTATTTTTTTTAGTTAATATGTTTGTTTACACAAGTAAAAGTGTCATTTTCTATCTCAGTATTCAAATGCAGCAGACCCACATAATAGCTTTTCTGACCTATGGCTTATTACTTGATAAAATGCCAGGTGAAAACTGTATTCCTGTTAAACACACATAGTTACATTTTCCACTAACCACATTTGACTTGCTTGGCACATGGAAAATGAAAAAGTATAGAGATAATAAGTGCATAAATAAATAACACACTTTTATAAAGAAATGGGCAAGGTTTGGGAATATATAGACTGGTTACACATAAATGTTATTATTCCCAGAATTCCTCAGCCTTCTTTTTTCATTTGAAAATAAAACTGGGTAGTTTTTTGTGCCAGCACCCACAGATACCAATAGCAGTATGTAGCACTACATACATATCAGTGTAATCATTAACAACACAGGCATACCATGTTCTTCTATTGTTGGTAATATTCTTTGACAGTAGTACATGGGCTCTGGACTGGATCCTGGTCCAAAGAAAGTTGTATTGGTAGGGAAACTGCAGACTTGAGATAAAGTATACGTAATAATTGATTATTAGATTAATGGACCTCGGTTTCCTCTGCTTGCATTGTGGCTTTTAGTCTTAATCTTGGATCTGGGGAAAGGGTGTATGGGGACCCTGGACATATTTATAAGTCTAAAAATTGAAACCGGTTCTGTAAGTCCAGTTGCTAGGTGAAACCGAGGAAGGAGAGGGTGGCGGAGAGACCACCAGGGTGGATTCAACAAAGGTGGATAGTTGGAGCAGCAGGAAGGGACCGCATCTTCTGCTTCAAGATGAGGAATTTGTATCCTTTACTGCAAGGCATGGAAGGTCAAAAGACTACAAAGCCCAAGGGAGAGAGAGAGAGATCAGGTTTGCTCTTGACAAGCCTCCCCGAATACCAGAAATGCTGTGGCGCGCACGTTGAGGTGGTTCGGGGGACACCCAGGATAAGATCAGATAGGGCAACTCAGCGGGAGGCAGCAGAAGGAAGGGTCTTGAGGGTATGGGAATTTTATTTCCAGGGCTGTGGCAGGAGTGGTGAAGGATATTTAGGCACCAACTGCTCTTGGGCTCAGTGCCCAGTTCTACCCTCTTGGAGCAGGAGCCTCGAGCCTCCACCACAGCGAGGGAAGGGGAAGCCAGGCCTCGAGGGCTGAACGTTGGTGTCTTTGCTCTTCATCTTCCAGGGGGTGATACCAGGTATCCCTCATCCCCTCCTTTAGCTGGACCTGCTGGGAAAGAAGGCACAGCAGGAGCCTGCCACCCTCAGCCCGGGCCTGACCTAGCAGTACAGGTACTGAACTTTAGGAGCTCATGCTACCAAGGGTCATAGACCCCAGCAAAGGAGCCTATTTAAATGGTCTTTAAAGGTCCCAGTCTAGGGGTGAGGGCCCATTTTGCTATGGTGTTTAGCAACTTTGTTGGGCTGTAGTCTTAAGGGCTTTCCTTTCTTTCGACTCAATGTCTACTATCTATCCCTGATATAAACAGTCATGGAAAATCCATGTTGTGCTTCAGATAACATCAGTGATTTTGTTCTAAAAACCCACTAACCTTGCAGTAAGCAGGTCTGAAGAGCATGTTCACAGCCAATTAACATGTTCTACTGAAGGTGTAAGAGACAACTGCAATATCAAAAAATAAATAAAACACACAGTATAACGTTACAACATTAAAACACATGGTATGGCTTTACAATATTATACACACAACACACAGTATGACTTTACATTATTAAAACACACACAATACACACACACACACACACACACACACACACACACACACACCAAAAC